GTTATTTGTAGCCCTACTCTGGCTCTTGCCAGGGGCCGCAATATAGCCTGGTCATAAATATGGCCTAAAGGCTGAACGCGGTTTCTGGGACCTCTCCACGGTGATCCTCACCCACATGGTGACACATTGTGTCGTCGGGTGTTTATCGCTTGTGTGATGTCCTGGTGGGGTAGAAAGTCAGTCAGTCAATTTCAGAGAATTATGTCTGCCTTACTGAAGTCGTCCCCTCGTGGGATGCAATTTTTTTTTTTAAATCTCACCCTGACTTTTGCCAGGGGCCCTGAATATAGCCTAGCCATAAATATGGCTTATACATAGATATGGCCTAACAGCTAAAAGGGGTTTCTGGAACCTCTCCACGGGTGATCCTCATCCGCAGGGTGACACTTTGTGTCACCGGGTGTTTATCGCTTGTGCGATGTCCTGGTGGGATACAACTACCCACCTACCTTTTCCAAGAAACAATTCCCAAAGCTATCCTAAACTTGGGAAAGAAAAGTCGGGAAAAAGGGCGACTGCCCTCGGGCTAAGAAGCTCAGGCACGCCCTTCTGTATATATAAATGTAGTAGGCCGTGGCTCAGGATAGCCGTCGTGGTGTAGCGACTAGAAGCTCAGGGTAGCCGTCGTGGTGTAGCGGCTAGAAGCTCAGGATAGCCGTCGTGGTGTAGCGACTAGAAGCTCAGGATAGCCGTCGTGGTGTAGCGGCTACAAGCTCAGGATAGCCGTCGTGGTGTAGCGGCTAGAAGCTCAAGATAGCCGTCGTGGAGTAGCGACTAGAAGCTCATGGTAGCCGTCGTGGTGTAGCGACTAGAAGCTCAGGGTAGCAGTCGTGGTGTAGCGGCTAGAAGCTCAGGGTAGCCGTCGTGGTGTAGCGGCTAGAAGCTCAGGATAGCCGTCGTGGTGTAGCGGCTACAAGCTCAGGATAGCCGTCGTGGTGTAGCGACTAGAAGCTCAGGGTAGCCGTCGTGGTGTAGCGACTAGAAGCTCAGGATAGCCGTCGTGGTGTAGCGACTAGAAGCTCAGGATAGCCGTCGTGGTGTAGCGGCTACAAGCTCAGGATAGCCGTCGTGGTGTAGCGGCTAGAAGCTCAGGGTAGCGCCGTCGTGGTGTAGCGGCTAGAAGCTCAGGCTAGCCGTCGTGGTGTAGCGGCTAGAAGCTCAGGGTAGCCGGCGTGGTGTAGCGGCTAGAAGCTCGACTGCGGATCGAAAGGTCGTGGTTTCAGGTCCTGATGGAACCGGAATATATTTTTTTTGGAAAACTAACCTAGGCTTCCAGGTCGACCCACCCTTGTTTGGGTACAAGGTGTAGTCCTGGGACGTAAAGGCGGCCGGTGTGATGTTTTCACATCACCTACCGTGTGTCAATCGGTCTATAAAATGTAGGTCTAGCCCTATATGCCCAATACGGCTGAAGGCATGGAAAAGGGTCCTCTAATTAAAAGCTCAAGAAAAGGTCAGATAATCCGTACACCAATACAAGCAAACAATTCTCTTAGGTTTAATAATGAACTTAACTTCTGTCACCGTAATGTTGATGAGTACCCATCAGTACACATGGACATATTTCTCTAATTGCTCGAACGGCTCCCGACTTTATTGACTGTACTCCATAGATGTAATTAACAGGTAAGCATTTAGCAGAACCAGCTGGTCACAGCTGTGGCAGACTAGAGCGTGTGTGTGTCACGATGAGTCATAACCCAACACACTGGTTATTTTTATTCATTGGCGTCAGTTATTCTGTAATTGATGGCGTGAGCGCCAGGGAATGGGACGGGGGGGGGGGGGAGGGGGAGGGGGGTACAGAAAGAAAGGGGCTTTAAGCCTCCCCCTCCCCCTACAATTTTCTTAAGGTGCATTGAAAATATCACCCCCACACCCACCCACCCCCCCCCCCAAAGAAAAAAAAATTATTTTAGGGGCTAATCTCCTCACATCTCCTTAACAAATGTGCAAAAGGAGTTAGGGCGGAAAGGGGCTGAAAATCGGCTGTGTGAGACTGAAAGACCCATATATCGCAGACTAGCTGCAAACCACAACACAACGTTTAAACCACTATGTAAAGGCCAACGAAGAGGGAGAAGCAGCAGCTGCAGAAGAAGAAGAAAAAAGAAAAAGAAGAAGGCAGAGGAGACGGTGGAAGAGGAGGGGGGAGAAGAACAAGAAAAAGAATATAACAAAATTATTGAGTAATCGTGCTAAACGCTGACTGTAAATAATAAATTGCAAAGTAAAAAATCAGCTTTATTATATATAAAATTACAATCTACATAATAGTCAGTAACAAACCTGACATTATAAGGTACAAACACGTCATAAAAACATAACAATACTTAGTACAGAACCGTTATATTCTAACATAAAAGAATCATATTATAAATACGTTACTTATATAAAAATTTTAATTAAAAGATTGTCGGTTGCTAACATGAAGTTGTGAAGCACAAGATGATACTCATACTATCATCATAACTATGATCACCATAACCATCATCATCGTCCCATTGTTCCATGTGTACGTCACTTAGGTCTCTTGCCTACTCTGCCACCCCGTACTTTCCTGTGCAATTTATTTTCAATACCATCGATAGAATGCATTCCAGCTCCTTTGATGCTCGGCTCTCTAGCGTAGTTGTTTAAACCTGGCTTCGTAGCGGCCGGGTTACGAACTCCTTGTGGTCCAGGATTACGCCCGAGGGGTATTCAGAAAAGCCACATTTCTTCCAGATTTGTAGTATTTATCATGAAATCAAGGCCGAAGGGTTGCGATATCCATAGTGCCGAGCAAAAGGTTTCTATATATATATATATATATATATATATATATATATATATATATATATATATATATATATATATATAACAACCTTTGACCTCGCTTATCAAATTTCGTCCTAGGACCTCTCTTGGACGTCCTTTTCCAGATACTAATAAAAAAAGCAATCATATTAACCGTTTCCACGTACTAATATCAAGTTAGAAAACATACTAACATGAAATTATAACGTACAGAATAGTGATCTGCTAACTCAGATAATCAAATTATGAAGTAAAAATTCAATATAGTACTAAATAACTATGGTAATCATATGCATATTTTGTTAATGACGAAAATAATTCTTATATCAGTTTCAGGTTATTCCACGATATTTAATAATTAATATAAAATTTATTTTCATCAATGGTTAAGAGGTGCTATTTTACCCCTTCCTCGCGATCCCCGTCCACTGCCTTGTTTAGACCACGGCCAGCTCCAGAGAAGCTTAGAGAAGGCAGTGTTTAGATAAAAACTATTAGAAACAAACGAAACAAAAATCGACAGAGGGCTAGGGGAAACCACTACTGTATTTTTCTCTAAAAAGAGCAACAGAGATGATGTGAAAGTGGCGAGGACTTGAAGACACATTATTACAAACATCAGAAGGAGACAGTCAAAATTTTTTTATCATGTTATGAGAATTAGGCAACTAGAACATGTTGTGACCTCTAGAACGATCCTTAGGAAAAAAGACAAGGGAAGAACAACGTGAGGCGACCCTTGGCAGCCTTTTGTCGTCGCATTGTGGAATGTAAGCACGCGAACCAGTAGCTGCTGTGGAAAATCGCAGATTTCGGAGAGGCATGATTGCCCATGCCAGTCGGCAAGATATTTGATGATGTTGACAAATACGATGATGATGATGAAATAATTGAAACACGTGGAAGCATCCGTGTGTTGACTATCTATATTTGCCACTTTTCGGGCTGTGTATGGCATGGGTGAGGTGGTGAATCCGAAGTTTTAAGGCCGAGGGGTCAGTCCAGTTTTTCTTCTTTAATGTTTGGCCCCGACAGAAAAAAAATCCCTATGCCCTTGCCCGTGATTAAACCCTGACTTTACCGTACAACGCACATGATTCTAACCACTCGACCAGTTGCTCCTGTCTACAACACATGACAATATACAAACCAAACGAAAAAGTATAAATAGTCAACTTGACATATCACAGTTACCAGGGGATCTTGCCGATGTTTAGCACTCAATGGGAAAGGCGAGACGGATATCCAAAATCTGTTGACCACGTGATCGAAAATCCAAGAAGTTGTTGAGAAGTGGCATCTTAGCAGAGCCATAGTTAACGGGTGTGGTAACTTTATCATCACCACCATCATCATCATCATCTTTATCATCATCATCATCTTCATAATCATCCACCAGCTAGCTCGCTTTCTCTCAATGATCACCACCTGGTTTGGCCCACGGCCGAATATTTAATATATTCGCGGCTAACCTCTATATCTAAAGGCCGTTCCACTATCCGCCACCCGATGAACGCGCCTAGTAGTAGGACAGATTTAAACTCCGGCGGTAATTTATTCAATGATAAGCTCATCGAACTAAGATCAGAGCAGTTTGGAAAGCTGGCCTCAACGCAAACTAGTGACCCCAAACCCTCTAGGACTGGTGAGCGACTATGACATACAACACCAGAAAAGATTCCAGATGTAATCATGAAAGGTAATTTGCCTTCCAAGCAATAATCTCGCCAAATTTACCTTCCTTCTCCTAGTGCAATGTGCGGTGTCCTCATAAAAAAAAAAATAAAGATAGAGTAAATACAATGGCTTTTACATTTTTTAAAAAGTTATGTTCTTATTGAAATATATTGATAATTTTTTTAACAAAATTTAGATTGTACTGTATTTAGTTTTTTTTTTGTGTGAGTTTGTTGGACCTTGGAAAAGATTAAGTTAGCTTCAATTTACCAGTGGGAAAAAATTGCCTTGGAACTCGAACGATTTAGAATTTGATGGCGTCTCGGAACGGATTATGTTCGAATTCCGAGATTCCACTGTACACAAATGTTCCTATGGCTAGGTAACTGACTGTTACGACATTGAACAATGCAGCTATAACGTGAGTCATGGCTGGGTATCATATTGCACAAATAATGACTGGGAATTGAGTTCACGTTGTTACGCGAAGATAACGTGGTACCCATTCGGTCTGCAGTTGTTTGTCACTCGCAGTGCTTGAGAATCAAAGCTTCCAACAGTCGCAGTCTGCCCTTAACTTTCTGTGGACAAAACAAGACAAACTGAAACACAAATAAACATGTTTTAGTTGCTAAAAAAAGGCAACTACGTCATCATTTCTAGGCAAATTTGACGTTCAATAGTTTACTATTGCTTTCTGACTGGACGGTCAGCTCTTGCTACCACCGTCAAGACCAACGCAAGACAAATCATCCGCAGTTTGGGATCGAATCCGGCACATCGGAATTACGAATCAATCTCATCTTCTAATGAAAAGTAATAATAATTCATTCTATAATTTTGCGTTTGAGTAAGTGAGATGGAGGTGGAAAAAAGAAGGTTGAAAGGGCGGCTAATTTGTTTAGGATGTCCCATTTTCAGCTCACAATATTGTGGGAAGAAATCGAGAGAACAACATAGAAACATACTTACATTTTACCTGGTAAATGTCCAATATTTATTCACGTAATCAACTAAAAATTAGTAGGTGAGCTTAACCATCACATATTTAGTCCACCCAGTATGTTCCTAATAGTATTCTTGTCCATCCAGTATATTTGCAATATTATTCTTGTCCACTCAGTATATTAGCAATATTATCCTTGTTCAACCTGTATATTAGCAATATTATCCTTGTTCAACCTGTATATTAGCAATATTATCCTTGTTCAACCTGTATATTAGCAATATTATCCTTGTTCAACCTGTATATAAGCAATACTTTTCTTATCCACCTAGTATATTAGCAATTTTATTCTTGTCCACCTAGTATACTAGCATTATTCTTCTTGTCAACCTAGTATATTAGCAATATTTTTCTTGTCCACCCAGTATATTAGCAATATTATCCTGGTCCATCCAGTATATTAGTAGTATTCTTCTTGTCCACCTAACATATTCACATTATTTTGCGAATAAGAACCCAGTTTGAATCTGGAATATTTCATTTCTAAAATATTAACATAAGGTATATTATGAGGTATACTATACTAACAAACGAAGAGATCATAGGAATTACAGTTTAACATTTTTGTTCCTTCTTACATTTGAGATGCTGCTCAGAGAAAACATTACATATTACACGTAAATCCAAAGAGAATCACACCAGGAACTAATTAAATCTCTCCCAAGAAAACATCACTTATAAGTAAATCAATTGTTTTTCAATGATGACAAAAACAAAAACGAACCCACATAAAACACACGTGACAGCCATTTTGCATCTGCCTAAGGTCAGTCATGGAAAAATAACACACTTTGTTCGCCTGCGGGTTAGCCTACGGCGGACAGCTGAGCGGGAATACCCCACTGCCCAGAAGCTGGAAAATGCCTTGATGTTTAATTGTGCCACTAACATGACAAGTTTGGAAAGCTCTGGTTTACACATTGCTTAAATCTCCGACGGACAGACAAGACAATAGTAATCAATAACTATATACTCACTTTGTATTCTGAATATTCAGACTGAAGTGGGAACCTGTTTTCCTTTCTTACTTTCCTGTATTACAGAATAATAAGATGTTTATAATGTATTGCCTTTCAAAATTAATACATTTGGTTCTTGTATATTTCGCTGTATTTCGTCAGGCGCCTTCTATAGTAACAATTAAAATAATGAAGGAAATAAGTGAATCCATTTATAAGTGAAGTACAAATTCAACAACATCAAAGGAAACTGCCAGTTTTACCATGGCAGACTTCAGTTATAAAGGATTCACTTATTTGCTTCATTTATGTAATTGTTACTACAGTATGCACCTGACGAGAAACAGCGAAATATGCCAGGCAATAAATTGTGCAATCCATTGTTTGTGTCATCTTTGTTCAAATTTACAACGGGGAAACATTGCTTGGACTTGAGGTTCTCACGAAAAACGCGCAAATTAATCCAACAGATTTCACTTTGGTGTTACGTTAATTATATTACCACAATCGACGTCATTGCACATTGGGCATTTCCATGTGTGCTCAGTCCTCGGTTGCAGTGCCACTCTAAGGTACGTTACTGACTGTTCACATAAAGAGAGGTGGTTGTAGAGTCCCCCTATCCCGGCCTCGAAGGCGGCATAGACGTGCTTCACTATTCTTCACTCCCATGTCATGCAATTGTGTTAGTGTCAGAGTTTCTTCGTTATCAACCAACCTAACTTCTATAATTCGAAGAGGTAATATGAAGCCTAAAAACAAAGGAAAAGGTTATTGAGAGACAAATAAGAGCTGAAAAAAAAAAGTAAACAATTTGAGACAAATAATGCTTTCTAGTTATTTTACTAGACAATTGTATTTTCGCTAGTTTGCCTAGGAACTGACAAGCTCATTCCTTGTCGAAATTAACGGAAGGCGGTCAGCTGCCAAATTTTGTGCAGTGAGTGGAATCAGTATATCAAAATTATGAAACTGCGTTTCTAACCCTTAAACTATATACGCCGCGTATAAGTAGCCGACTTCAAGTGCAAACAATAACGTGTGGCAGAAAATACAATAACTATGCCACTGCCTTTTAACCTTACAACAATGGTGTTAAGAATTTCAAGAGTGTTGAACCTGTGACGCCAGGGTGCAAACGACAGTTTAAAGATGGCCGCTTCACTTTTGACATGTACAAAAGAGTAGCAGCGTTCTGCCACCCGGTTAAAAAAAAAATAAGTGAAGGGGTGAAACGTATAACAATTCACTGGTGAATTAATATCAAGTTGAGGATGAATGTCCGTCAGTCCAGCAAATGTGTGAGTGACCCCTCGTACATATTTCATTGTCAACTGATGCAATACCCATAATTATTTAAAGATTGCACAAAGTAATATGTATCGCAAAAATGGCAAAGTCTAATTTGAAATCAAACGATACTAACCCCGTGTGGGTTCCGGGGCCCCATTGTGGGGAAAATAAGAATAGACCCACTGCCTCCCCAAAAGCATTTTGAAAGAGTCGACTAATTGGGGAGCTTCCTTTGAAGTCGGAGTGTATCTGCCGGAGTGGCAAGGAACCAACAGTCTGTATTCAAGAGAATGAGATCTGTAAAACTGATGCACACGCAACACTCAGGTTCTGGAGCAGGACTGCAGTTCAGTAGTGGACGAGCAGCCAGAACTTTCCACCAGAGTGTACAGCTGGTGAACGCAAAGAAGAAGAAGAAACGATACTTACCGGCCAGTTTTCACGAAGAAATCATGTTCAAATTCCCGTATAGCTCTTCCAAATCGTCCTTTCTGTACTTTAGCAAATTCGAGTTCCCTCCACAGTTCTGGCCTGTGAATGAAAGCAGCACGAGTAACAGAGAGTACAATAACTTACAGCTCGTCACACTTTGGGAGCCGCTGTGATGGGGCTACCAGGCGCTCTCAAACAGCTGATTTGTTTCCCTCTCTCTAAAGAATGACAATGACTTCCAGGTCGACCCACATTTAGATGGGCACCAGGTAAAGTCATGGAAGTAAAGGCGATCAGCGTGATGTTGACCATATTACCGAGTGCCGATAGGTCTAAAAATATAGGCCTGTCACTACAAAGTCAGTACGCTTAAGGACGTGGAAACGAATCCTTTACTTACTTACATCACTTTCAAGCTGCTTTGCTTGGAAAAAATCGCGACTTTCACCCAGCATTGCCAAAGGGGGAGCTTTAGGTTTTAATTGTGACAAGATTATGTGCGCCATATAAAATGGGTTAGCACTGCGCGCCACTAAGAGCCCTGAAATGAACTCCTTCACTGTTGATGCTATCAATGAAGACAGACCCAAATGCTCTTCCGACCGGCGCAATTAAATCAAACTGATGAATTACGTCATGTTTCAGGCGCCATGTAATCGTTAGTAACGTTAGTTATATAGTAATTGGTCTTAGCTATAATAGTGTTGACTTTTTAAGAAAGAATATTTTTGGTTGATTGTGTGTTCCTTAACAGGGGCAGGTATTAGAATGTCCTTGTTCAACAATTTATGATGTCACTTATAGACATTAGGCTCTTCAAGTGCCTTTTCCTAAGACTGTTAGCAATTAAGAAAGACAAAAAAGTAAAGGACCATTTTTCACATCGTCAGGCGCATAGGGCATATAGGGCTAGACCAATCAACACTCGGTGGTGATGTGGTCAACGTCACACCGGCTGCCTTTACTTCCTAGGACTATACCTGGTACCCACTCAAGGTTGGATCGACCTGGGAACTAAGATCATTTTCTTTATAGTCCGGCTCCGTCAAGAACCGAACCTACGATCTTCCGATCCGCTTGCCAGTGTCTAGCCGCTACACCAAGGAAACTCTTCTGTTAGCCATTTAACCAGTAGAATAGATTGTGAATAGAGCTGAATGTGGAAAGCACTATCAAAATAAGACACACTTTACAAGACCGGCTCCAGCTGACGGGCCATGTTGACACCAAAAATACAGAATCGCTGCGTTAACGTATCGTTTGCCTGGATTGGTGACGTCAGCAGTATGGCTCGTCAACTGGAGCCGGTCTTATATTATAGCAATATATGTTGCATTTACTTTGCAGACGGCGATGGCAAAAATAGGAACGGCTAAATTAAAAAAAAAAAAAAAAACGAATTTAAAACAATGCAGTCATTAAAAAATACACCCCGTATTAGTAAAATGAATAATATTAGATGCAAATTAGTTGTGAGGTAACAACAACAGTAAGCTACCTAAGTCAAATGACAATAACTCACAAAGACATTTCATGCAAACGAGAATCTCCTCCGGTGTCCAAAGCTCTGAAAGAACAATCGTTCCAATTCTGAACTTCTTGCTTCAGATGTGCATCAGTAACATCCAGATTGCTATAGGCTGGTATTTCTTGCTCGGCAATTACATCGTCTAGAGGTTCTGTGTCGCCTTCGTGTAAATAATCTGCATCTTGTATTGGATCTCTCTAAAATAAAATGAATACTCACAATATAAACAAACAAACAAAATAAAATACGGGTTTAAAAAAAATCATTTACCAAGTCACGACCACATTCATTTTCAGTTTCAGTGCAAACGTTTCGTTGTATTGCAATGGTGATATTATTATAATTCGTTGTACTACTGCTATTGTAGCTGCTGCTGTTGCTGCTGCTACCACTACTACTACCACTACTACTACCACTATGATTAGTAGTAGCAGCAGCTGCAACAGCAGCAGTAGTAGGAATAGTAGTAGTAGTGGTGGTGGTGGCATGCGAAGTGGCATGTATGGTGACACACGGAGTGGCATGTATGGTGGCATACGAAGTGGCATGTATGGTGACATACGGAGTGGCATGTATGGTGACATACAGAGTGGCATGTAAGGTGGCATACGAAGTGGCATGTATGGTGACAGACGGAGTGGCATGTATGGTGACATACGGAGTGGCATGTATGGTGGCATACGAAGTGGCATGTATGGTGGCATACGGAGTGGCATGTATGGTGGCATACGGAGTGGCATGTATGGTGGCATACGGAGTGGAATGTATGGTGGCATACGAAGTGGAATGTATGGTGGCATACAGAGGTCTGGCATGCCGGCTGGGTTACCATCAAAGCGGATCTGGTATTTCTTCAGTATTTTGTGGACGCTTGGCCGGTTTGCCTTGTTAACAGCCACAAGTGTTCGGAATCATGTCCTGTCATTTTATCTTCAGCAGCCTTTTAAGACTGTGAGTCAACAAAACATGTCATTTTCAGTTAACTGGTTGTGATTATATTATTTTTTAAAGGATCTTGACGAACACAGTGGTTAACTTGTTTTATCATGCTCTGAAAGTTATGGGCTCTATTTCGAACTGAATTCTTCAGATGTCCTTTTTTGAAGGTCGTCGTTTAAACTACTGAATATCCTGCTTCGTGCAATGCTTTCGGCGAGCAAACAGCGCCAATATAAACAGAGACTGAGCAATTTGGAGTAAAACTAAGTGCACTGCAGTCGATATTCAAAATTATACTACTTAATTTGTGTTTGCTATTTATCCTCCAATAAAGTATAGACTCCCAACCAACTCCAGTCAAATCCCCCTATCCTTTGACATCACATGAAGTCTCCTCATCCCCCCCCCCCCCCCCAACCCTTCCATATCTTCCCTATCTCTTTTCACCTGATTCTCTTGTCGGGTCATCTGGATATAGATTCAGCATTACAGTATTCAGGACAAGGCTGTATTAGTACGCTCTCCGTGCCCAACAACCAGCAAAGAGTCTTCATACCTGATGCTACCCCATGGTCATCTGGTTAACTATTCTTCGTGCTTTTTCCAGTGCCGCAGGCACTCCGTGCTTCATGTCATCCCAGGTACAGGTTTCCAGTCTCCTTCATTTAACTTGTTACCTTAAAACATATGCACTTTTAAGGAATAAACTCAAGGTTGAATAGTAAATTTACTTACAGAAAACGACACGGGTATCTCCATCATCTCATTTTCAGGGACAGTTTGAAGTTCAAGAACCGCGGAAACCTGGAATTTACCAGCAGAAGTCAATGAAAGCACGGATACAGTTTGGTTTTTGACTTTCTATTTTAGGGTTATTATTTATGGATACCTCCATTACTAATACAGAGCGCCGAGGTAATATAGCAGCTAGACTCTCGCCTGCGATCCGGCGGTCTAGGGTTCAAAACGGATCGAGAGGTGGAAACGGGTCCTTTTCTTTTACCCCTGGGCTGATCCAGCTAAAAATGAGTTGCATGTAATTTCCTGGGAAGTAAAGGCGATCGGTGTGATGCTGGCAACATAGCATATCGAGGGTCATTTGGTCTGTAAAAAAGATACATCTAGCCGCATGTGCCCAGTGAGCTTGAAGTTTAAAAAGGGTCGTTTAATTTACGTTTATTTCTGTAAGTTTTCGATTCTTCTCCATAGATTACACATAATTTATTTAAGTACACGACTAGTATCATAGGTACCAGTCCAACAGGTCAAATTATGTATCTCTCATTTAAACCCCCCAAAGTTGTTATACTTTTAATTAGGGCACCCTTCACAGCTCCATTAAGTAGTAAGTTAGTGTAAGTAATATCCAAGGATGGAAAGAAGTTTTCTTTCTATTTTCTGCAGTAATGACTACTACTACTACCACCACCACTACCATTGCTACCACCACTGTCGCCGCCGCCTCACCCGTCATGCTTTCTACTACTAATGCTACTACTACTACTACTACTACTACTACTACTACTACTACTACTACTACTACTACTACTACTACTACTACTACTACTACTACTACTACTACTACTACTACTACTACTTCTTTTACTGAACTAAGGAGTTGATTCAAGAACTGACATCACAGCACTCGGGGAACTCCCATAAGTTCCAGTACCAATGGTGGCAGTAGCACTCTGATTAAACGTCCATTCTGCCTTTCCTCTGAGTATCGAGTATCAGCCGAATCCCCGCGTCTATCCTTGTATCACTGTCACCAGACTGTGGTGACCCATTTGCTCCTCCTAATTGTACCCGTTCTCCCACAAGGCCTAGCCACGTCTGAATTTTTACATGCAGCAGTATCCCACTAAGTTGCGCAGAGCCAGCTAGTCTGTCTGCCTGTTCATTTCCCACTGCTGCTACTGCTCTGATGCGTTTGATGCTACTGTTGCTGCTGCTACCACTACTTCTATCACCACCACCACCACTATACACCACCACATTGACTATTACAATTACTATTACCACCAAGAAAACTACTAGGTCACTTTTACAACTACCACTACCACAAAAGTATGACTTCTTCACTACTACTACTACTACTACTACTACTACTACTACTACTACTACTACTACTACTACTACTACTACTACTACTACTACTACTACTACTACTACTACTACTACTACTACTACTACTACTACTACTACTACTACTACTACTACTACTACTATTACTACTACTACTGCTGCTGCTGCTACTACTACTACTACTGCTGCTGCTGTTTCTGCTACTACTACTACTTCTACTACTACTACTACTACTACTACTACTACTACTACTACTACTACTACTACTACTACTACTACTACTACTACTACTACTACTACTACTACTACTATGCTGCTGCTGCTACTGCTGCTACTACTACTAATATTACTACTACAAGTAAAATAAACTCTGCATATGTGAATATAACTCTTGCATTTAGAGAACATGTAAAGAACTTTACCCTGTTGTTTTCAGTTTTCCCGGCAGATTGTCTTTTTTCTCCAAACGACCGAACAATGAAATCAACACTCATAGCCATGGGATGTCTGGCATCGAAAGGTGAACCGTTATGGCCATTTTTAGATCGATTTCCATTTTCTGCATTTTCTTTTAACCCTGTAATAGAATTTCTTAATAATAAGAAGAACATAGGGACGCATGTACAACAGGGGTCCACCGATTATCAGTAGAAAGATACTTCGTCGACGATTGTTTCGGCCCATTACTTCCTATAGTCTCGGAAGGTGGACCCGACCTGGTTCATGATACAAGACCTCTTATATTTAATCGTCTTTCCACATTTATGATTCTTTAAAACAATAATTTATGCTGTAAAAAATGTTGTCTGTGACATTTAAAAAACGACAATATATAATATTCACGTTAAACTTGACATTTTTCAGCTTGAGAAACGTCCTTCTGGCTTGTAAATCGTTAATTTTTCTTTTAAAAGGTGATCTGGTTTGGGTATATCTAGTTTAGTTTGAAAAACATCATAGAAAGTACACGAACATAAACAAACACCTGCTTACGTTTGAGATCCTTCCTAGCTCTGGCTAGTTTAGACATGTACTTCTTGATGTGAGGTTGACTTGCTTTCTCTGCCTGAGACGGCTGCAACGAGAGGAATCTTTTATTTTGTATAGTTAGTTACGATGTAGTAACGTAATAAAGAAGGAAGAAAATATGGGCTTTTAAGCTGATATGCTAGTGACAGATTCACATAGTACCATGGAGAAAGAACAAAATGAATGCTGACATTCTGAAAGATCTGAAAGGCAAAATATCGAATGTACTTCAGCCATAACATTGCAAGGCAATGCGGGGAAACTCGCTTAATGAAGACGCAAAAGAAGGTATGCTGGGGAATAAACAGGTAGACAGACTGGCTGGATCTGCACCACTGGGTGTTGATCTGATGCATGGCAAGGCAGATGTGGTCAGGGCCCTTTGAAAACAAGCAACGGAGTCAGAAGCGAAAAAAAATAAGGCACTTGCGTGTAACCAGGGGGTCTGGCCGGCTGACAACATTCAGGGGAAAGGCGAGACGGACACATAACCAGATCTATGCCAGTACCATTAGTACTGGAACTGTGCTGGCTGCTGAAGATGAGGAATGCCCTGAGTGATGTGATGTCAATTCTTGACGCAACTCAGTCAATGTTGTCTTGTTCGTTGATTCCGTAGGTCTTTACCTGAAGAGAGCTGGTAGTTGCACTTGATTGGAGTAACCGTTACAGGTGTCCTAATTCTAACTTTTTTTTTCGAGATCTTCTTTCTGGAGTTTCATTAGGCATCTAGGGTATGCCTTGTTGGTTTACTATCAAGATAGAGATATTAAAATCTTAGGAGGATACGGTAAACACTTAGGTAACAGCCACCAGAGGGGATAAACTGGTCAGTCGATGGTCCATCACACGGGATGATGACCATTTAGCAGAAATGAATAATGATTGTGAGTATCAGAATCAGAATGATAGCAAGTACAGTATTTGCTACACCGTTCTTTCTAGTCTGTTTTCATATCTCTGCCAGTGCAACCTTTGCTAACTGGCAGGCTGATACACCATGCCTAAGCGCTAAATATTATCCAGGTCGCTCTCGTGCAACAATCTCTTATGTTTTTGTCTTAATGCTAAATGTTTTATGAGCATTAAGACTTTATTTTCATATTCATTCAACATTAAAAAACAATGAATGACATACCTTGTAACCATAATCCATTTCAAAGCTTTCTTCAAAACGTTTAATTTTCTTCTTGAGGCCTGATCAAAAATCAAACATATCTTGATTTTATTAAGGGGCTATTTAGAATTATAATTAAACGTACCTCTATGTAATCGATAAAACTAAGTGAATTCCTCAGGGTATGATTTCTTAATAACTCACTCACTCACACTTCGATTCACTCATTCACTACCACACCGAAATGAATGGTCAGACCATCATGCCTAGTAATGGATAATGCCGCATATCACAATGCCATACCAGAGAAAGACAAAGTACCAACATCAAATACAAAAGATTAAATTAAGACATGGTTTGCTAAAGAAAAAGTCAACTTTGACTACACATATCACTCACTCCATTAATTATTCACTCACTCACTTATTCATACACACACAAACAAACACACATGCACGTACGCACAAACACACACAAAACAATAATATTATGTTCTAATTTAGGAGAAAAATCTTTTCAGAAAATCTGAATTAACTACTAGTATTACCTTGAATTTTCATTGCAAGCTGTTTCGTTTGATAGCTGCACTCATCTTCACTGCCAAAATATAAAACTCAAAATATAATACATATCATCATCACCATCATCATCATCGTCATCATCGTCATTATAACCATAAACGGACTGTGCCGTCTTCTTCTTCTTCTTCTTCTTCTTCTTCTTCTTCTTCTTCTTCTTCTTCTTCTTCTTCTTCTTCTTCTTCTTCTTCTTCTTCTTCTTCTTCTTCTTCTTCTTCTTCTTCTTCTTCTTCTTCTTCTTCTTCTTCTTCTTCTTCTTCTTCTTCTTCTTCTTCTTCTTCTTCTTCTTCTTCTTCTTCTTCTTCTTCTTCATCTTTGTCTTCTTCTTCTTCTTCTTCTTCTTCTTCTTCTTCTTCTTCTTCTTCTTCTTCTTCTTCTTCTTCTTCTTCTTCTTCTTCTTTTTCTTCTTCTTCTTCTTCTTCTTCTTCTTCTTCTTCTTCTTCTTTTCCATCATTTACCTCAGTGAGTTGTTGGGGTGGGGGTTGTAAGGATCGTTTGTGTGCTTTTTTTTTCAAATACATTGTACAAGTTATCGGTCATTTCTGCTAGGTTGCTCCTGATGATGTCGCTCCATTTCTTGCGTGGTCTTCCTCTTGCTGAGTGTTCATTTTATTTATTTAGCGTGGCTCTCTGTGGCAGCTGGAACTAGGGCATTCTCGTCAGGTTGCCAAACCATCTCATTTGTTGTTCTTTAATGAAATGTATGACTGGTTTCGTCGGCTCTGTGGCTAAGTCGATGCGAACGCTTCACAATTCCGGGGTGCCGAGTTCGATCCCAGCTGCGGGCCATGTGCTTTGCGTTGGTTTCGACAGTGGCATCAAGAAAGCCGACTGTCCAGACAGCAATGACAAACTACTGGACGTAAATTTGCATAGAGAAACCACACAACAGCCAGGGCTTGGTTCTGCAACGTCCTGTAAAGGATACGCAACTAACCTTCTATATGACTGGCTTCAGTCTTCTTCTTATTTCTTTATTCCTGTTATCTATTCTTGTCACCCCGGCAGCTCTCCTAGGGCATCTCATCTCTGTTACGATCTTCCGCTCATTAGTTGTAGTAAGGGTCCATGTTTGGCACTGGTAGCACAATGTCGGCCAAAAAACCGTTCTCATGAGATTTGCTTTGACTGACAGAGGTTATCTTTCTATGCGTCAGAAGCTGTGTTAACTGTCCCATTACCCGATTCGCTTTCGCACATTGTATGTAGATTTCTCTATTCATTCTTCCATCTGCGATGAAAAAGTATTTAAATTCACTCATTTGTTTTCTTTCTACTTTACTTACTTTATTTAGTCTACCTATTACCATTGCCTCTGTCTTATCGATGTTCATCTACGTATTAAATATCTCACACTTAGTATTGACTTGGTTTTGTAAACTCTCTTCTGTTTCAGCTATTAATACCTGGTCTTCTGCAAAGAACAATTCTGAGATATCATTCTTTTCTTCCCTCTGTGTTTTGAGTGTGCATATATTGTCCATGTGCGTGTTATAAAAAACAGGGGAGATAACACATATACCTGTCTTACTCCTGGGCTGTGTGCTAACTCCCCTGCTTTTTATAACATACATCAATAATACAACGTAAAATGTAAAAAAAAAAAAAACCTACATAAAATTTCTACAGTCCTTTCCTGACGCTTCTTATCATGACGCTGCGAGGCATTCCAGGAGTAAAGATGAAAACGGTTCTTTTTTGTTTATTTTACTAAAAACGCTAAAATTAAATGGCTACAAATGGATCTCAAGTGTAGAGCATACGAAGGATATGTAGAGCAATTATTATTTACTCTCTATTATACTTTTGAGGATGACATTTTTTATTTGAAGCTCCACCCTGGCTTTTGCTGGGGGCCGCAATATAGGCAGGTCATCATTATGGCCAAATGTCTGAACGCGGTTTCTGGGACCTCTCCACGGTGATCCTCATCCGCATGGTGGCACTTTGTGTCATCGGGTGTTTATCGCTTGTGTGATGTCCTGGTGGGGTAAAAAATCCAATCCAATCCTTTACTCTCTATTATACTTTTGAGGATGACATTTTTTATTTGAAGCTCCACCCTGGCTTTTGCTGGGGGCCGCAATATAGGCAGGCCATAAATATGGCCAAATGTTTGAACGCGGTTTCTGGGACCTCTCCACGGCAAACCTCATCCGCATGGTGGCACTTTGTGTCATCGGGTGTTTATCGCTTGTGTGAAGTCCTGGTGGGGTAGAAAGTCAGTCAGTCAGGATGTGTAGTGACATATTTTTGAGTCCTTTTTAGGATGACATTTATCTTTATTTGAAGCCCTACTCTGGCTCTTGCCAGGGGCCGCAATATAGCCTGGCCATAAATATGGCCTAAAGGCTGAACGTAGTTTTTGGGATCTCTCCACGGTGATCCTCACCCACATGGTGGCACATTGTGTCATCGGGTGTTTATCGCTTGTGTGATGTCCTGGTGGGGTAAAAAGTCAGCTAGTCAGTCAGGATGTGTAGTTATTCCAGTCATCCCTTTCTGGGATGCAATTGTTCGTTATCTGAAGCCCTACTCTGGCTCTTGCCTGGGGCCACAATATTGCCAGGCCACAAATAGGGTCTAATGGCTGAACGCGGTTTCTGGGACCTGTCCACGGGTGATCCTCATCCACATGGTAGCACCTTTTGCCATCGGGTGTTTATCGCTTGTGTGATGTCCTGGTGGGGTAAAAGAAGATAGATAGGATGTGTAACTTTAAAAAAAAAAAAAAACTTTTCTTTTAGAAAAAAAGTTCAAAAAATAATATTCATCTTATGCAAAAAACACACGAAACAGTGGAATTTAGGTTTTCAGCTCAACCATGTCGTGTACACAAAGGGCATATTTATCATAAATGTTATTTTTTACCTGTACTTTTTATACAAATCTTGTTGCACCGGAGGCAATGGCGGTTCATCGGTATTTGATGATGCCCTGTAGAAGAATAACCCATACAATATTTTAGAAGTTACATGTTACATACTAAAAATTCCTAGATGTATCCAAGCCTGAAAAGCACAAGGTTAACAAAATAATTATCTGATAACAAGACATAACAATTTCATACAATAGGAAGGTATTATAGAAACATAAATATCCCCTATCTGAACAGATCAAAAGGGATTTATTGTAATATTTTCAGCATAATTACTTCTACTTACGGCTATTAAAAACTCGCAAAATATGCATCGTTTAGAAAAATATACGTAATCTTCAACCTGAAATAGTTACTAGATCTTAATGCATCCTTAATGTATCCTTTATAAGCTCAACACTTCCTATTAAGACCTTCATACATCCTTCAAATGCTCAACACTTTGGATCAAGACCTTCAAACATCTATCATACACACAACACTTTGGATCAAGACCTTCATACATCTATCATACACACAACACTTTGGATCAAGACCTTCATACATCTATCATACACACAACACTTTGGATCAAGACCTTCATACATCTATCATACACACAACACTTTGGATCAAGACCTTCATACATCTATCATACATACAACACTTTGGATCAAGACCTTCATACATCTATCATACACACAACACTTTGGATCAAGACCTTCATACATCTATCATACACACAACACTTTGGATCAAGACCTTCATACATCTATCATACCTTCATTATCTATCATACACACAACACTTTGGATCAAGACCTTCATACGTCTATCATACACAAAACACTTTGGATCAAGACCTTCATACATCTATCATACACAGAGCACTTTGGATCAAGACCTTCATACATCTATCATACACACAACACTTTGGATCAAGACCTTCATACATCTATCATACACACAACACTTTGGATCAAGACCTTCATACATCTATCATTCACACAACACTTTGGATCCAGACCTTCATACATCTATCATACACTTAAAACTTCGGATCAAATCCTTTATACACCCTTCATACAATCAACACTTCGAATAAAGACCTTTATACATCCTTCATACACCCAACACTTCGGATAGAGACATTTATACATCCTTCATACACTTAACACTTCGGATCAAAACCTTTGTACATCCTTCATACGCTCAACATTCCGGATTTGGACCTTTATACATCCTTCGTACACTCAACATTTCGGATCGAGACCTTTATACATCCTTCATACGCTCACCACTTCAGAGCCATTTGTAGTCATTGAAACAAACAAAAAAGGACCGTCTTTATCTTTCCTCTTTCCTCTACTCCTGAAATGCCTCGCAGCGTCAGGTTGAGAAGAGATCTCCGGAACGGGCCCTTTTGTTCGCTTCATATATAATACTTTTCAGTGTTTCCAACATGTCCGCCGTCTGTCTTCTTCGTAGTCGACCTCTGGCTCTGCTACCACTGTATCTGTATGACAGTCTTCTCCGTGGTGCCTTGTCTGTTGCCAGTCTTGTTACACGGCCAAACCATTTGATCTGTTGTGTATCGACAAAGTTCAGTATTGGTTCTGTGCTGACTCTCCTCCTGATATCATCCTTGCAAAGTGGATAATTTCTTGTTACCCCTAGCATAAAACGTAGACATTTCTGCCGTGACTGTTTTTCTTCTGTCTTCTGAAGACAGTATCGATGTCTGACATTGATAGCACAGCGCTGGTAAAAATACATTGTTGTATAGTGATTTTTCAGTATTCATATTCATGTGCTTGAATGTGTTTGGTCATCTTCTTCAGCAGCTAAAGGGCTGCGTGGTCTTGAGGCATGGTGTCCGCCTAGAGTGCTAGAGTTCCGGGTTCAATCCCCAGTAAGAGCTGGGATTTTTTTCACGTGGACTTGGACTTCTGGTCTCTGGGTAGTAAGACTGAACACCCGTGTGCAATGTTGCGCACGTAAAAAATCCCTTGGCAGTTGGAAATCGAAAAAAGTAGCCTAACGGCGCTCTCCAGGCAAAATTTGGATAACAAATCTACCCAAAATATTGCAGGATCCTCACGGGTGCTACAGAGCCTGTGCACTGTGCTGAGCTTCTTTGGACTCAAGCTTGAGTTAAAAGAAGAACGGAACACTAATGGTGTGTGCCATTATGTTGATCCGTTGTTCAAACCTCAAACCTTTTTCAGCTAGCGAAGAGTTCCAGTAAGTGCGCACGTAGACAACCTATAAGATGTGTCAATGAATTATTTGTTTAAACATATTAAAACAGCCTGAAGACATAAATTAGCAACAAGTCTTAAACAACGAAAACTCACCTGAATATACCACTATTATGGTAGGCACTAGGGGACAAGGGCGCCTCCGTGACCGTAGTGTCGTTGACACACAAACTGAAAAATAATTTAGAAAAAAAGTTATACTGTGTGACTAAACAGATTAAATATGTGACATTTGTGCATTAAAAAAAAAAAAAAAAAAAAAAAAAAGTCAGCCTATCTAGCCACTACATAATTTACTCAGTGCAATATCTTTATCATCATCAATAAGTAAGCCAATTACATAACGTGGATATGGAGAGTGCTAAGAAAGTACTTTACTTGAATATTAAGAAAACGGAAGTAATGTTTATATCAAAGAAAAAGATAACACCACAATGTGATATCTCAAATGAAGGAAAAAGACTTAACCAAGTCAATAAATTTAAGTATCTAGGAACAGAGATTATTAGCAGGATAGGTCAAGCAAAGGCAGCATTTCAGAAACTGAGGAATATCTAATGCAATAAGTCGCTCTCATTTAATGTCAGAAAGAGAGTGCTAAAATGTTACATAGAACCTATTATGAATTAATCAAGTAACAGAAAGTATTGTGAACGGCACTCATAGAAAGAAGTAGAAAGATACATAGAACCTGTTCTGCTATATGGCAGAGAATCTTGGAATCTTAACGAACAAATTAAGAAGAATTTGGAAGCAACAAAGATGGGGTTTCTGAGACTAATGTTACGAATACCTTGGACGGGGAAAGTAACTAACAATGATTGTTTGAAAGAAGCTAAGAAAGTAGATCTCTATACATCTACAACAATAAGAAAACATAAACATTGTTCTTTGACCATACAATGAGAAGAAAGGCATTGAAAAACATAATGACAACTGGAAATATCAATAGGAAGAGGGGTAGAGGCAGACAATTAGAGATGTTTCTGGATGGGCTAAAATGATGGCATGGAGAATTACCATCAAGAGAGCTGTTCCGAGCAAATAGGGGTCATAATCTGTGCAGATACATGAGCATCTACGCCAATTAGCAGGGCACATAATGATGACGATGATGACATTACGTCGCCCTAATCATGGAATGTCTGAATGTCTCTGTTTCTCCAGCATTAATACAGCCCTGTGTGCTTTCAAAGCCATCATCTTCAATACCTGCATCCATCTTCGTGGAGGTCTATTTCTGACTCGTTTTCCGAAAAAAAAAAAAAAACTTTACCTTTCCCCCTTCCCAATCAGTGTTCTCTCCAGACCACTGACGTTTAACGTGGCCAAAATACCTTAAGTTTCGGTGAAGAATGCTGTTTACGAGCCAATTCTCTTCGAAGATCAGATAATTCAGGATGTGTAATATGGAGAAATGTGTTAGTTAGTTAGTTAGTTGGTTAGTTAGTTAGTTAGTTAGTTAGTTAGTTAGTTAGTTAGTTAGTTAGTTAGTTAGTTAGCTAGCTAGTTAGTTAGTTAGTTAGTTAGTTGGTTAGTTAGTTAGTTAGTTAGTTAGTTAGTTAGTTAGTTAGTTGGTTAGTTAGTTAGTTGGTTAGTTAGTTAGTTAGTTAGTTAGTTAGTTAGTTAGTTAGCTAGCTAGTTAGTTAGTTAGTTAGTTAGTTAGTTGGTTAGTTAGTTAGTTAGCTAGTTAGCTAGTTAGTTAGTTAGTTAGTTAGTTAGTTAGTTAGTTAGTTAGTTAGTTAGTTAGTTAGTTAGTTAGTTAGTTAGTTAGTTAGTTAGTTAGTTAGTTAGTTAGTTAGTTAGTTAGTTAGTTAGTTAGTTAGTTGGTTGGTTAGTTAGTTAGTTAGCTAGTTAGTTAGTTAGTTAGTTAGTTAGTTAGTTAGTTAGTTAGTTAGTTAGTTAGTTAGTTAGTTAGTTAGTTAGTTGGGTTATCATCATTGCACTCCGGACATGTTCATAGGTGCGCAGGTCCTAATAGTACCAGTCGTATGTTCATTAATAAGTATTCTAGTGTGTCTGGTGTGCGTCTCGTTTTTTTTTTTTTTTGCTGTGCCGATCTTAATTCCCAAGTCTGCCATTCTGGCCTGTGATGTGGATTTACTGCCCTCAAAGTCATTTATCCTTCCAATTTCTCTGGGGGCATTAATAATATCATCATGATCCATAGGCTGACCGTCGGTAGTGATAGCGGATCCAACTAACCTATCAGCTCATTCATTTCCATCGACGCGTGCGTTTTACGGAACAAAAATAAAATGGTGATATATATATTTAGTGTAATATTTTGTTAGACCTTTGTTGATTCTGATCTTCGATTCTGATGCAATTTTAACGATTGACGAGTGACAATGCCTTACAATAGCTTAGATTCACCCTATAATAATAATAATAATAATAATAATAATAATAATAATAATAATAATAATAATAATAATAATAATAATTATAATTATTATTATTATTGTTATTAGCAGCAGTAGTAGCAGCGGCGGCGGCAGCAGCAGAAAAAAAAGCAGATGCAGAATAATAATAATAATAATAATAATATTAAAAAGAAGAAGAAGAAGAAGAAGAAGAAGAAGAGAAGAAGAAGAAGAAGAAGAAGAAGAAGAAGAAGAAGAAAGAAGAAGAGAAGAAGAAGAAGAAGAAGAAGAAGAAGAAGAAGAAGAAGAAGAAGAAGAAGAAGAAGAAGAAGAAGAAGAAGAAGAAGAAGAAGAAGAAGAAGAAGAAGAAGAAGAAGAAGAAGAAGAAGAAGAAGAAGAAGAAGAAGAAGAAGAAGAAGAAGAAGAAGAAGAAGAAGAAGAAGAAGAAGAAGAAGAAGAAGAAGAAGAAGAAGAAGAAGAAGAAAGAAGAAGAAGAAGAAGAAGAAGAAGAAGAAGAAGAAGAAGAAGAAGAAGAAGAAGAAGAAGAAGAAGAAGAAGAAGAAGAAGAAGAAGAAGAAGAAGAAGAAGAAGAAGAAGAAGAAGAAGAAGAAGAAGAAGAAGAAGAAGAAGAAGAAGAAGAAGAAGAAGAAGAAGAAGAAGAAGAAGAAGAAGAAGAAGAAGAAGAAGAAGAAGAAAGAAGAAGAAGAAGAAGAAGAAGAAGAAGAAGAAGAAGAAGAAGAAGAAGAAGAAGAAGAAGAAGAAGAAGAAGAAGAAGAAGAAGAAGAAGAAGAAGAAGAAGAAATAAGTCAATAAAAATTATTCTTTTATGCTAAAGACTTACTTATTACACTCCCTCAAATTGTGACAGCCATAATCTCTTTGAGCACTTGGCTTTTGCTGTGACACTGTCATGGAATCTGCAACAGCATGTAACTCACCATGTATTTAAAATATAAATACTGAAAGAAATCTCAAATTCATTATTACCAAATGTAAGTAATTATTTAAATAGGGTGACCATAATATCTTGATCTGAAACATCCCACTCATAGTTTGAGCTGAAAACGCCACATCCCACTAATATTTCGAACTGAAAACGCGACATCATACTAACATGATAAGATGAGAATAACTCATCACGCCAATACTCTGAGCTGAAAAACGGGACATTGCACTAATATTTTGAGCTGAAAACGGGACATCACACTAAAATTATGAGCTGAAAACAGGACATGAAACAATATTTTCAGATGAAAACGGGACACCACAAGCAAGTCAGTTTAACCCCACCTCCTTTTTTACTGGGTCACCATATGAAAGGGTTAATTACTAGTTCCTCAGTAGTATTGTCACCAAGAAATAAACGAAACAATGTGCTCTTAAAGTGCACTGAAAGAAATACTACAAGGAACATTTTTATCAATTCATTTCAGTCACGAAATGAAATTTTTTTTTAAACTATCAAATCTAATAATATCTGCAAATATAAATGTTAGTCCTCTTCTGTGCACTCATCGGCTGTAAACTCCTGCGGAAAGTTCTGGTTGTCTGTCCACCTCTTGACTTTAGACTTGTTCCTGAACCTAGGGTTAGGTATAGTTTTAATCGCTTTTTTTTTCAACACTTACACTGAAACACTTAAACTTCTATATTCTAGCTGTGTCATGTGTCCCCCCCCCCCCCACCCCCCCCCAAACGTTATCGTTTATTTCGACGTCATTTCCGGTGATTGTTAATTTCATACTTTCCTCACCCTCACTCTACCCTGTTTACAAACACTGTTCTTACTTTGTGACCTGGTCTTCCTCATGAATTGCCTTGACCTGTCGATATTCCTGCATAACCATAACCATAACCATAACCCTGCTCATAAACCTTCCTTGAACAGTCGTCTACAGAAAAGATGGTTGCTCACTTTCGCCTGGGAGTCAGTGTGACACTTTTTTGGCACGTTATATGTACACGGCGAACGAAGGCATGCCATTACACCTTTTTACTATATGATGTATGTCCCGGGAAATTCGCTATGTAATCTCGCACGGGACGAGATGGGATTAAAATACCGAATAGTACCCCTGACGGTTTTGGTTAAAATCTGCCGTCTGGTCACCCACAAACTATTCAACAGACTTCTTTCACACCAGTGGTGCATCGGATGTATGATGCCACACTCTACTGATAATGTGGTAAATATCACAGGAGCTGCCTTTACTTTTATGACATTTTCTGTTACCTATTTCAGGCTGGGTCGATCTGAAAGTCACGGTCAATTTTCCCCCTCCATTTGGATTAGTTAAATGTGTGCTGTGGAGACAGCAACAGCGGCAATGTTTAGTATACTGGCTTTCCAACAGAACTTTTCTTTAATAGGGCTCTGGGATGGAATCAGTTTAGTTTAGCGTGGATAACAGGGATTTTTCTGGAAATACATGGGGAAAAAAATTGGAGAGCTAACGAAGTCAAAGCATGTGAAATAAACACTTACCAACACTAACCTTAACCCTACCACAGCACCCCATTAAAAAAAAAACAAGGACTATCCTGGGAGCAATAGGCGATATCAAAATTAAAGTTAAAAAATATTTTAAATACGGCATGAAATTGCCGTAAAACAGCGTTATCGCTGCTGTGTGTGCGATCAAATATTAATGCTGTGTTCGTCAGTAACAATAAAAATGCCCGAGTTTTTGGCTGGTCGTCGTAATATAAGGGATCTAGGTTAGGGTCACGACACCGTCGTGGCAGTGACAAGTCAGAAATACCTATAGGAAATAATAGATACAGTGGTGGTAAAATAGCAAAGAATGGGCCTGAATAAGGTGAAGACATAAGTGATGGTAATATCAAAGAAAAGAGCTGTACATAAATGCATAATAAAAGTCAATGGCGTTTTTGTTGTTGTTGTTATTGTTGACAAGTGTGGAATTTTAAATGCAAAATATTTAATAGATTTTTAAAAACAACACTCACAATAGGACAAGCACAAGTTGCATACATAAAACACACAACATCTTATGCAGTAAATTCCTGTTATGGAAGGTTAGAAAGAGAACTTTTACAGGCTTTATAGAGCCGGTTTTAATATATGGTTGTGAATCCCGTGCAATAAATAAACAAGCTGAACAAGTTTGTGAGGTCTCAAAGATGTTTTTCTATGAAAACAAAGAAAGTTCAACCTCTAGAAAAACTGGCAGAAAAAAAAAAAAAAAAAAAAAAACAGAGGAAACAACGTGAAAAGATTCTTGACAATCTTTGATCATGGCATTGTTTGTCCATCTGATACATGTACTGGAAAATCATGTGTTGTGGAGAGGTAGGTATATCGGTCACACCATTCTGGCGGTGGTGATTGGAGGGGGAGGTGGGGGGGGGGGGGCTGCGTAGTCTCGAGGCATGGTGTCGGTCTCCAGTGCTAGAGGTTCTGGGTTCAATTCCCGGTAAGGGCTGGGACTTGGACTTCTAGTAATTTCCCCTGCTCTCTGGGTGGTGAGATCGGACGCTCGTGTGCATTGTTGCGCACGTAAAAAAAAATTCATTTTCCTTCGAAAAAAAAAGTAGCCTAATGGCGCTGCCCGGGCAAAATTTGGAGCTAAAAATGTACCCAAAATATTTTAAGATCCTCGCCAGTGTTACAGAGCCTGTACACTGTGCTGAGCTTCTTCGGACTCAGACTTGAGTAAGAAGAAGAACGGAACACTTATGGGTTACTACCAGTGCGCCATGATGTTGATCCGTTGTTTAAACCTTCAACATCATAAAAGAAGGCACTTGAGGATAATGTTGATATACCTTGGTATTCTGGCGCCACTTTGTGTTCCGATTATTCTGTTTAACGCTTTGGACACACCTTCATATTACAGCCGACACACTCGTGTACCGCGACATACAGTTTGGAAAGCTCAGCATAAGTAACAACGCTTACGTAAGTAAAGTAAACAAATAGACTCTTTGATACCTATGGCGTATCTGTATATGGTGCTAGATATTGGTTACGGGACCATATCCCCAATGAGGGTAGAGTGTACTCACTGCTGTCCTTGGGCATTTTTCCGTGGTTAGGCTCCAGACTTTTCCACAGCGTGATTCGCATGCTACTGTCAGAAAACAACGAGAACATTTTTTTTTCACCGCGGGGAACGAACTCTAGTAATCGAGGATCTTGAAACTGTTAACCGCAGTCACTACCATGCCATGGATATACAGTAGATTGTAGATCAGTGGGTACTCGCTACCTAATGTAGTTAAGAGCATGCTCGCTACTTTTACTTTCATTGCTGTTGATGGTTAGATAGTGGTGGTGGTGGTAAAGGTGGGAGAGGGGGGGGGGGGTTCCTGACATTGTTCGACCCTGCGGAGGACAACTTCGGTTGTAATTGTGGTATATTTCTGATCTGTTTCGAGTTCAATGGGTTAAATGGCTTCTTGGGCCACCAAGTGTGGCTTATTGTCCCTGTCTGTGTAATGTTGTCACTCTACTAATATCCTGTTTGGAAAGAGAGTCAGTCCCCTTTCCATTAAAACTTTAGGAATATGAATCTATCATCCCCCTTTCTTTCTTTTTTTGTTTTCCTGTTTTTTTCCTCTACTTGTACCTAGTTGAGGCTCATCAGGTTTGGCTTTCACTAAAAATCTGTCCAAACAACTTTGCTTCTGCATTCACCTCAGGATTTTTCGGAAACGTGACATTTTCTTGTTATTCCAGAAATGCTTTCACAGCTTGTTTGAACTTTGTTGCTGTGATACTTTTCTGCAAAATCATTTTTATCCATCCGTGGATTTGTCTCGAGAGAGGTAAACAAAAATAAAGAGCGCTGTCGTGGAATTTTTGGTTTGACTCACACAAGTTCTAGTATGTGAGTCGTATTCCAAACAAATGTCGTATACCCAGAAAACGTTCTCGCGTATAAACTCTAAACAGGACGTATACCAAGTTGAACGTATACCAGGGCGAACGTATACCTAGGTTAGTTGCGTATCCTTTACAGGATATTGCAGAACCAACCCCAACAGCCGCTGGCTGTTGTGTGGTTTTTCTAGGATAAAATACGTCCAGTAGTTTGCCATTGCTTTCGGGACGGTCGGCTTTCTTGATACCACTGTCGAAACCAAAGCAAGATGCATGGCCCGCAACTGGCATCTAACCCGGCGTATACCTAGGTACAACTGTATTAGTGAGATAGAAAAAAAAAACAAGCTTATCTTACCAGCATCATCAATGTTGTCATGCAGCGCGGACATATCCAGATGAAGCAAGAACATCTTTAACTGATCATCCACTGACCCATCCATTGTCCCTGATCTCTCTAATGACAATTGCTGGCTGCAGAGATGATCCCGGACAGTCTCCGTTGGTGGAGTTTGCGGTGATAGTGCTCTTTCCGCCGCGACATGCATGAGTTGTCTCGGGAGTTCTCTGTTGTTGTTGTTGTTGTTGTTGTCGTCGATGTTGTTGTTACTGTCGCCGTTGTCATCACGTTCTCTGCGGAAGCACTCCCAGTTGTTGTTATTCCTCCCGTGCTGTTAACGAATAAAGCTAATTTGCCAAATACTGCATGTATTTACTTTTTCTTTTCTTTTTGCAGTCTAAGCAGGAAGGTCTTTGAGTGCTATACGAAGAAAGCAATAAAGTGCTCATGTAAAATTAACACTGATTTCTTGATGATACTAAATGTTAAGTGTACTTTGCTTTGCAGGTGTGATTTCTGAACAGATCAATGTACTTTGCATATGTAAATCTTTGAGGACACCTAATGTTAGACCGGTTTTGCAGATGTGATTTCTTGTCAGTTAAAAGTACTTTTCACGTGGGATTTCTTGATGGCACGAAATGTGTGACTGCACTTCAGTTATTGAAAGCAGGTCAATCTATATGTCCTTTAATATGGCGCTTTATTTCTTTAGCAATGTGTGTGTATGTGTGTGTGTGCGCGCGCGCATGTGTATGTGTTAATACTTCATATATTGTAACATGTCTGCCCTGACTTATTATTTCCAGCACTCTTTTATTGTCCCCTCTTAATCTTGTTTCTGTCTGCATTATTATTCTGTCTGTCTGTCTGTCTTTCTTTCTGTCTTTTTTTCTGTCTTTCTTTATTTCTGTCTTTCTGTCTGTCTGTCTTTCTTTCTTTCTTTCTTTCTTTCTTTCTTTCTTTCTTTCTTTCTTTCTTTCTTTCTTTCTTTCTTTCTTTCTTTCTTTCTTTCTTTCTTTCTTTCTTTCTTTCTTTCTTTCTTTTTTTCTTTCTCTTTTCTTTCTTTTCTTTCTTTCTTTCTTTCTTTCTTTCTTTCTTTCTTTCTTTCTTTCTTTTCTTTCTTTCTTTCTTTCTTTCTTTTTTCTTTCTTTTTTCTTTCTTTCTTTCTTTCTTTCTTTCTTCTTTCTTTCTTTCTTTCTTTTTTCTTTCTTTCTTTCTTTCTTTCTTTTCTTTCTTTCTTTCTTTCTTTCTTTCTTTCTTTCTTTCTTTCTTTCTTTCTTTCTTTCTTTTCTTTCTTTCTTTCTTTCTTTTTTCTTTCTTTTTTTCTTTTCTTTTCTTTCTTTCTTTCTTTTTTCTTATTCTTTCTTTCTATATTTCCTACTTTCTATATTTCCTACTTTCTATCTCTCCTCTTTCTTTCCTACTTTCTTTCCTTTCTTTCTTTCTTTCTTTCTTTCTTTCTTTCTTTCTTTCTTTCTTTCTTTCTTTCTTTTCTTTCTTTCTTTCTTTCTTTCTTTCTTTCTTTCTTTCTTTCTTCTTTCTTTTTTCTTTCTTTCTTTCTTTCTTTCTTTCTTTCTTTTTTCTTTCTTTCTTTCTTTCTTTCTTTTCTTTCTTTCTTTCTTTCTTTCTTTCTTTTCTTTCTTTCTTTCTTTCTTTCTTTCTTTCTTTCTTTTTCTTTCTTTCTTTCTTTCTTTCTTTCTTTCTTTCTTTCTTTCTTTCTTTCTTTCTTTCTTTCTTTCTTTCTTTCTTTCTTTTCTACTTTCTATATTTCCTACTTTCTATCTCTCCTACTTTCTTTCTGTCCTACTTTCTTTCTTTCCTACTTTCTTTCTTTCCTACTTTCTTTCTTTCCTACTTTCTTTCTTTCTTTCTTTCTTTCTTTCTTTCTTTCTTTCTTTCTTTCTTTCTTTCTTTCTTTCTTTCTTTCTTTCTTTCTTTCTTTCTTTCTTTCTTTCTTTCTTTCTTTCTTTCTTTCTTTCTTTCTTTCTTTCTTTCTTTCTTTCTTTCTTTCTTTCTTTCTTTCTTTCTTTCTTTCTTTTCTACTTTCTGTATTTCCTACTTTCTATCTCTCCTACTTTCTATCTCTCCTACTTTCTTTCTGTCCTACTTTCTTTCTTTCCTACTTTCTTTCCTTCCTACTTTCTTTCTTTCTTTCTTTCTTTCTTTCTTTCTTTCTTTCTTTCTTTCTTTCTTTTCAACAAACACATAGACAGACCGACTGACCAACCAACAGACAGACAGGTAAATAAATAGATGGATAGATAGATAGATAGACAGACAGAGAGACGGACGGACGGACGGACAGACAGGCAGGCAGGCAGGCAGACAGGCAGACAGACAGGCAGGCAGACAGACAGACAGTCGGACGGGCAGACAGACGGGCAGACGGACGGACGGACGGACGGACGGACGGACGGACGGACGGACAGACAGACAGACAGACAGACAGACAGACAGACAGACAGACAGACAGACAGACAGACAGACGGACGGACGGACGGACGGACGGACGGACGGACGGACGGACGGACGGACGGACGGACGGACGGACGGACGGACGGACGGACGGACGGACGGACGGACGGACGGACGGACGGACGGACGGACGGACGGATAGATAGATAGATAGATAGATAGATAGATAGATAGATAGATAGATAGATAGATAGATAGATAGATAGATAGATAGATAGATAGATAGATAGATAGATAGATAGATAGATAGATAGATAGATAGATAGATAGATAGATAGATAGATAGATAGATAGATAGATAGATAGATAGATAGATAGATAGATAGATAGATAGATAGTCAGACAGACAGGCCTATATAGATAGACATATGAATGAATGGATGGATGGATGGATGGATGGATAGTTGTTTGGATGGAGGGTGGATGGATGCATGGATGGATCGATGGATGTATTTATGAATGGATGGATCGATCGATGTATGTATGAATGGATGGATCGATCGATGGAAAGATCTTGACAGTTTTTAGAAACTCATAAAACAATAACAGCTAAGTAAACCTAAAGAAGCAAACAAACACCATATTACCCAGAATTCATGAGAGTTAGAATCATCTAGCTCCGAAGACAGGGATGAGTATTCTGGGACTGTGGATTGTGTCACAACCTCCTTACAGAGCTTATCTGATTGCCGTCCTACAGCAGGCGGCAGATTGTGTCTGTGAATTGATGCACATAGAAATAAACAATCAGCAGAGGCGTGAAACAAACTATTCCAAACCTGCCAATTACTGCCTTTATCATAGCACTTTCGCGGTGTAGGCAGGAAGGTCTGGGGTGGGGGAGTGGGGGTCTTTGAGCCTGAGGATTTACGGCCCCATGGCTAGTGCTGTCGCCACGACTGTGCCGGTGAAGGTTTTATTTTGCCACCCGACAGAAGAAAAAAAAAAAATTCGCAGCCTTATCGAAGATTTGAATCCGGGTCTCCCAATCAACTATTCATTGGCTGTTATTTACAAGCATGTTTGTAGAAGGCGACTGTTTAGGGGTGTTTCCTCGAAAATCGGAATATGCATCTGCCTGAGTGGCGAGAAACCAAGATACCGCATCCGCATACAAATAAACCGGATTGGTAAAACGGATGTGCACCCGAAACTCAAGTCCTGGAACAATACCAAAGTCCAGAAACCGGACGAATAGCCAGCACTTTCCGCCAGAGTTTAAAGCTAGAGAAGGCTAACAAAAAGATTTACCGCTGTTGGTACTTCAATTTTATACAACAACATTTAGTCGGCTTGGAGATATGGTCGTACAAAATTGAAGTACCCAGCTTTTGAAGTGGGTATAGGACCGGGAGACGGGGTGGGAGGGAGGGTGGTGTCGTGAGCTTAAGGATTGAAGTCTGCATGGCTTGTCCAGACGTCACCAGCTGGACAGGTTATGATTATACAAATATAACGGCAACATACTCAGCGGTCGACCACGCAGCAAATACAAGTAAAGTAAAGGATCACTTTCTACGCCTTCAGACGTATTGAGTATATAGGGCTAGACCTATATTTTATAGACCAAACGACACTTGGTGGGTCATATGGTCAGCATCACGCCGGTCGCTTTTACTTTCCATGACTGTACCTGGTATTCACTCAAGGCTAGGTCGACATAAGAGCCAAGGTCATTTAAAAAAAAAATGTGGCATTCGTCAGATACCGAACCTACGACCCTCCGATCCTCTAGCCGCTAGATCACGGCGACCGCCACCACGCAGAAAATGGACCTAAGAAATAACAGACACTAAAAAGCACTTTATAGGAAGCGAACACGAGGGCCCGTTCCAGAGATCATTCCAGGAGTAGAGTAGAGAAGAAGAAGAAGCAGGAGATACAAAAGGTCCATCGCTTTACCAAGGATTCGAACTGAGGTCTCTAAAATGAGAACCCAGCGTTGTAACTGCTCGGCTCGATACTGGTGTATGAGATTTTAATGTATGTGCATGAGCACGTGTGTGTGTGTGTGTGTGTGTGTGTGTGTGTGTGTGCGTGTGTGCGCGCGTGTGTGTGATTCTATGATTGTTCCTTCACTTGCACGATGTGAGGGCTTTTTTCTGCAGTACCATTTTTTTTTAAATACCCCCCCCCCCCTTTTTTTTCTCTTTCCCCATCCTTTCCCACCGTTGTTGGAATCCTCCTTTCCCACCGTTGTTGGAATTCTCCGTTCCCACCGTTGTTGGAATTCTCAGTTCCCACCGTTGTTGGAATCCTCCTTTCCCACCGTTGTTGGAATTCTCCTTTCCCACCGTTGTTGGAATCCTCCTTTCCCACCGTTGTTGGAATTCTCCGTTCCCACCGTTGTTGGAATTCTCAGTTCCCACCGTTGTTGGAATCCTCCTTTCCCACCGTTGTTGGAATTCTCCGTTCCCACCGTTGTTGAAATTCTCCGTTCCCACCGTTGTTGGAATTCTCCGTTCCTACCGTTGTTGGAAGAGACACTTGTGATTAGTCAGCACATTTTATTTAAAGACATTTAAAGATGAAACTTTTCTTTTTTTTAAAAAAAGGCTCTGCACCCTAGTTTCAGATGTGATCAATCAGTTTGCTGCCCTATATCGGGCAGGAGATTGTGTCTGTGAAATATGACTATTATTAACTTAGAAATGAATTTGTATTGAAAGAAACTAACTCACGAAGAGAACTGATTACCCACATCAGAAAGAGTCAATCCACATTCCTTGGTCATGTGATGAAAAGGGGGGAAAAAACTGGAGTAGATCGTGATAACATGAAAGTTAGAGGGGAGGAGAGTCAGAAGGGAGACCGAGAGACAAGATGCTGGACAGTTAGTTTGACATCATGGTATGGAAGATCATCTAAGTCAGAGTTGACTGAAAGTACACGAGACAGAAGGTTGTGGATAGACATGACTTTATCAACGCCACAGCATGGACTCGCCTGTGTGTCACCGGGGCCCTCACGGGAAGCAAAGAATAGTGACACTGCACCCTACCAGGCATGTCGTAAGAGGCGACTAAGGGTAGGGTTGGGCTTGAGGTTGGCTACCTCATCCTGTAAAAACCATAGCCACAAAAAACCAACCAACCATGGATAAGTCAAAAAGAGAAGCACATAAAATCCAGCCAACCAAGATGAGGGGAGGCTCTTCAAATGGAAGAAGTATGACACGGTGTGGAGAAAGCCGTAAGGAGTCCGGATCGTTGACTTACCTCCTCTCAGCTAGGAAAACCTCCAGAATTGGCACCTGGAATGATATAGGGAGAACAATGGAAGTAGCAAAGGAAATGAAACATTATAGAATTAGTATTTTAGGGTTATGTGAAACTAGATGGACTGGGACAGGGAAAAGTATTCTTAATTCAGGAGAAACTATTTTGTTCTCAGGACACACAGAGGAAAATTCGCCGCACAGTGAAGGAGTGGCCCTGATGCTATCAAAAGAAGCAGACAGGGCACTAATAGAATGGGAAGCTGTGAGTCCCAGAATAATAAGAGCATCTTTTAGAACAGTAAAACAGAAGGTGAACATGTCGGTAATACAGTGTTATGCACCAACAAATGATAAAGATGCATCTGTTAAGGAAGAATTTTACATGCAGCTTCAAAATATTATAAATAATGAAAGAAAGGGCAACTTAAAAATTTTGATGGGTGACTTGAATGCTAAGATATGATCAGACAACACAGGTTATGAAGAAATTATGGTGAGACATGGTCTAAGAGTAATGAATGAAAATGGAGAATTGTTCACAAATTTTTGTGCAGGTAACCAGTATGTTATTGGTGGAAGTATTTTTCCCCATAAAAGAATACACAAGGCAACATGGGATTCACCAGACCATAAGACAACTAATCAAATTGACCACATATGTATTAACAAAAAGTTTAGATCATCCCTTTACGATGTTAGGGCTTTCAGAGGTGCCGATGTATTTACTGAAAATTTCCTGGTGATAAGTAAAATCAAGCTGAAACTAAAAAGATATATAACATCTTATAATCATAGAAACCAATATAATGTAGGCTTTCTCAGAGATAAAGAAATTAAGGAACAGTTCTCAGTTACGGTCTCTAATAAGTACCAGGTGTTGCAGCAGTTAGCTGAAGATGTCAACACAGAAGTCTGCTGGGATCAGATCAAAGGAATCTGGAATGAATCTTGCGTAGAAGTTCTTGGCAAGAAAGAAAGGAAACATAAAGCATGGATAACACCAGAAACCATTAAACTGATTGAAGATGAGGGGAGGCTCTTCAAATGGAAGAAGTATGACACGGTGTGGAGAAAGCCGTAAGGAGTCCGGATCGTTGACTTACCTCCTCTCAGCTAGGAAAACCTCCAGAATTGGCACCTGGAATGATATAGGGAGAACAATGGAAGTAGCAAAGGAAATGAAACATTATAGAATTAGTATTTTAGGGTTATGTGAAACTAGATGGACTGGGACAGGGAAAAGTATTCTTAATTCAGGAGAAACTATTTTGTTCTCAGGACACACAGAGGAAAATTCGCCGCACAGTGAAGGAGTGGCCCTGATGCTATCAAAAGAAGCAGACAGGGCACTAATAGAATGGGAAGCTGTGAGTCCCAGAATAATAAGAGCATCTTTTAGAACAGTAAAACAGAAGGTGAACATGTCGGTAATTCATTGTTATGCACCAACAAATGATAAAGATGCATCTGTTAAGGAAGAATTTTACATGCAGCTTCAAAATATTATAAATAATGAAAGAAAGGGCAACTTAAAAATTTTGATGGGTGACTTGAATGCTAAGATATGATCAGACAACACAGGTTATGAAGAAATTATGGGGAGACATGGTCTAAGAGTAATGAATAAAAATGGAGAATTGTTCACAAATTTTTGTGCAGGTAACCAGTATGTTATTGGTGGAAGTATTTTTCCCCATAAAAGAATACACAAGGCAACATGGGATTCACCAGACCATAAGACAACTAATCAAATTGACCACATATGTATTAACAAAAAGTTTAGATCATCCCTTTACGATGTTAGGGCTTTCAGAGGTGCCGATGTATTTACTGACCATTTCCTGGTGATAAGTAAAATCAAGCTGAAACTAAAAAGATATATAACATCTTATAATCATAGAAACCAATATAATGTAGGCTTTCTCAGAGATAAAGAAATTAAGGAACAGTTCTCAGTTACGGTCTCTAATAAGTACCAGGTGTTGCAGCAGTTAGCTGAAGATGTCAACACAGAAGTCTGCTGGGATCAGATCAAAGGAATCTGGAATGAATCTTGCGTAGAAGTTCTTGGCAAGAAAGAAAGGAAACATAAAGCATGGATAACACCAGAAACCATTAAACTGATTGAAGATAGGAAAAGTAAAAAGGCAGAATTAAACAAAAGTGAAATATCTAAATGATCTAGCACAAGAAGCGGAGACAGCAGCAGCAAAAGGAAACCTCAGAGAACTTTACAGTAACACAAGAAAATTAGTAGGTAAATATAGTCAGCCAATTGGATCAATAAAAAAATAGTCAAGGAAAGGTACTTACTAACACTAAAGATCAAATGGACAGATGGGTTGAATATTTTGAAATGCTTCTAAATAGACCAGGCCCAGAGGTTCCCCCAGATATCCAGCCTTTAGAAATGGAACTGGATATCAACTGTGAGATACCATCCAAAGAGGAAATTAGAAAAGCTATAAATCTTCTTAAGGAAGGAAAGGCGTCAGGC